TGGGCAGAGGAATCATATTGCCTAACAACCTCATTTTGATAATTTAAGTGTTCATCTTGAGGTTGTTTCATGTTGCCCAGACTTTGATACAATAATTGGAGGTAATTGCTGTGTGTTGTGTAATATATTGGATTCTTGTTCATGACAGAGTTTAGTCTTTTGAAGGTTTGGGCGCACAGTGTGTTTTCTAGCATTACTTTAACTTTTGGTCAAAATCTCTTTTATCTGTCTGTCATCTGAGTAGGCTGGTCAGGATGTTGTGATCAGGTCAATGGCAATGAGAAAATCCACTGAAAACCACAAATCCATAGGTAATGTCCATCCTTTTCAATGCCAGGTTGTTTTGAACAGCTTCTGAATATTTTTAACTTTTACCTTAAGGCAAAGCAGTTTGGTAAGGCAGTGGCAGGTACTGTAAAATAAGGATCTCTTGTTTTCTGCTTCATAATACTTTTTACCCAAGTGCTTTGCCAGCTGTGAGATTGAGCATCAGTTGATCTGGGAGCGCTCTCTGGTGAGTGTGGTTTGCTGCAAAGCAACATCATCTCCTTGTGCATTCCTAGACAGTCACTCCAAGCCTGTGAGCTTCTGTGGATCCTTGTTTGGGGATAACCTAATAACAGCGTCAACAATTCCATTGCTATGCTGGAAAAGAACAGGACTGGGAAGTATTAACCAGCTGGGATTCCTAGCCTTTCATGTGGTGGTTGTAGGTAGTTACTGTGCTCCAGAAATTCATGGTTTTAGCAATTTTTATTTAATATTAACTGGCAGTTGACATAGTTTTAGCACTTCTTAAGTTTTCTGCAGGATAGTAGTCTGATTTGGGATGGGAATAATGGAATATTCAACATAAAGAGGCAGCAGCATGAAAAAAAAACATCCACTCGGACAACACAGGGCAGCTGAGTCACACAAATACATACTGATCCAAAACAGCAGTCTTGAAGAAATGCAAGTAAACAAATTTATACAAAACCACTTTTTGAGAAAAAGAAATCCTTTTGGCCACTGGTGTCAAACATGAAATTGAGCCTGTTATTAATTTATCCCCAGTCTGAATTATTGTGCGTCACTTCATTGCAATGCTTCAGCCGTATCTTCAGAGGCACAAAGATTTGTATTTGAAGGGTGGTGCATAAGTTGCATTCATGTCTGGGTCAGTTTGTTTCTTCTGGGGCATTGCATCCTGTCCTGTATTTAATTTACTCTGTGTTTGACTGCTTTGTGCTTGATTTAGGCCTCAGTGGTTTGGGGCTATGTCCCTGGAAATGAGTAGTTGGCAGTCCAGGCACCTCTCAGGTTTCCTGGGTCTCAAGGTGAGCTTGGAACTCTGCAAATCTGAGCCCTAAATAGGTATGCTTTGGCATTTGCAATTTTAAACAAATCTTGATAAGATCAGAATTTGTAACAGATGCTGAAATTCCTATGGGGCAGTTTTACATAGATAACTTTATTTAGAAATTAATACCTTCCCATTAGTTCATCTTCTTGATAATAATAAGTGGAATAGGAAGGCAAGGCAATAAGTGTTTCTGGTCAGTTGATCTTATCAGGATTTCGTTCTGTCTTTCCAGCTTGCATGTTTGCTGCTGCACTTGGCTCTGCTGGCGATGAGAATACACACAGCACAGGCTCCATTCCAGCTCTCCCTTCCTTTTTGCATCTGTCATACAAGATGCTTCCAAACGCAAATTATTTTATCTGTCTGTGAAAGGGAACTGGGAGGTTGTTTTGACTGTATACAGATTTTTGCCTTTTAAATACATCAGTGTTTGTGTAGCTGCTTAGTCTTCTTTGTTTTATCTGTGATTCTTCTGTTGGCTGGGTAGTGCTCCAGCTCTTACATAAGGAAATCTCACTCCTAAGGCGTGTTCCATTAAACCCCAGAAGATGAGCTGTGTCTTCTCAAGGTCCCATGAATAATTTGCAAGGTTTAGCATCTATAATTAAGGGAAGGTCAGCATATTGGCAGTATATAAATTCAAGTTTTAAACCAACAAGACACGGCTCTACACAGCTGACAGCCCATTCATGTTTTGTTTTGTGGAATATTGCAATGTAGAGTCTTGCATTAGGAAACGAGGGTGGGATCTGGGTATGATATCATAGAATATCCTGAATGGGAAGGGACCTGCAGGGATCAACCAGTCCAGCCCCTGGCTCTGCCCAGAGCCCCCAGCAAGCCCAGCCTGGGCATCCCTGGAGCTGTGGCAGCCTCGGGGCCGTGCCCATTCCCTGGGCAGCCTGGGCAGTGCCAGCACCCTCTGGGGGAAGAGCCTTGCCCTGATCTCAGCCTGAGCTGCCCTGGCCCAGCCCCAGCCGTGCCCTGGCTGCTGTCCCTGTCCCAGAGCAGAGATGGGAGCTGCCCCTCAGGAGGAAGCTGCACACTGCCTTGAGGTCTCCAAGTTTCTCCATGTTTGGACAAACATGTGGAAGGGTTTGGTTCAGAAATAGCCTTTCCCTGTGAGCACAGTCTGACCTACCCATCTCAGTGCTGGTTGCTCTCCCTCATTCGTATTAAATGCATTTTGCTAAGCAATATCCCATCAACTTAAGACAAACACAAGAGGCTGGAAATTCTAATAAGTAGAAATCTTACAGCTAACCTGTCTACAACATAAAGAAGCAGAGAACTGAAAAATACCATGAGAAATGGGGGAAGAGTAATTTCTTGAAGTTATACTTTAAAAAAGCATCTGTTTGTTCCTTCATAAAGCAGCTCCTGCTCTTATCCTACCATTGAGCTATGCCCTGAGAGGAGGTCAGTCAAAGTGAAAGCCTCTGGGGTATAAAAAATTAATCATACCAAATAACTCACAGGCTTCAGGCCTCACATTTTAAGCACAAATTGTAGTATTTTTGGTTGCCCACGGAATCTTGTTAGAAAGTGAGGCAACAGTTTCAAGGAGTTAAAAGCGGAATCAGGATGGTTTTAGTGAGTTTTGTTGCCCATGGAAGTTTTGGATGTGTACAAGTCCCCTCTTGATACACTGAGTGATACACTGAAATTATTCCAAACTGAGCAAAAAGTGCATAGTGGTGGTTCTTCCTCTAGGTGCACAGAGTTTTCATATTACTTCCTTAGAATTTAGGAGAGTGGGTTATTAATGTACCAGGAAGGCTGTGTCAGTGAATGCACTGGGTACAGCACAGAGCTTTTCCGGGGTCCGGCCCCACTGTTGCACGTGTTACTGGAGATATGATATATGATAAGAACCTGATGTTTTACCTTGATGCCTTCTGACCTCCTGCTCTCCTTAACTCCCTGCTCTCTTTCTCTCTCTCTCTGGCCCTTTTTGTGTATCCATTTCTTTTTAGAAAATGAGTGACTTTCTCTCCCAAGAGGATGTGGCTGCAGTGGCAGAGTGGAGCAGTGTTGACACTGGCTTTGCGTGGGAGGGCTCAAGGCAGTCGGTAGTTGTTAGTGAGACTCCAGTGCCACCCGCCTCACAGCCTTCTGCCAGCTGGCACTGTGGTGCTTCCTCCCTAAGCAGCGAGGAGGAGGAGGAGGAGAAAGAGGAACAGGAGCAGGAGGAGGCGGTTCCCAGCCGATCCGCCCGCGAGGAGGACCTGACATGTGGAAAGGGGGTTTGTGTGGATGTGGAGAAGGACTCGGAGCTCTCTGAGCTGGAGCCCCAGCCCAGCCCTGCCACACTTCCCCGTCAGCCCTGGGGAGGAGAGGAGGAGGAGGTGGCAGAGGATGGTGAAGACAGCTTTGGCTTTAGAAAGCCACATGGCGAATGTCCCAACCCAGATGCTCCTAACAGGCTGCTGGAGCTCATTCGCTGCTTCCAGGTAGTGAGCCCAGCTCCTGCCCCCACACCCCGGCTGCCTTTGGAGTGGGAACCCAAACACTGCAGCAAGCAGGTGCCACAGACCCACATAGGAGTTGGGTTTGCTTGGCTTGGACTCGTGCTTGGAGCTAATGAGCCAGTGATCTCCCACAGTCAGTGCAATAAGCCCCTCTCAGTTTATCTTTGAATTAAATACGAGCCACTGTCCATTTGTCTTTGCATTAAAAAAGACTCCCTCTCAATTTATCTTTACATGAAATACAGTTGCCACAGTGCAATGTCCTTTGTTCTTCTTGGATTGAAGCATCCTGTGGCATTTCCAAGAAAAGGCAATATTTAGGCTCAAAAATTGTGTAATTTTAGCTCCTTAAGGATTTTGCTGGCCCCAGCTGGACTGGCAGCTGACTCTCAGTACAGCAGAGCAAATTTGAGGTGCTGTCCAGTGTGTCCCTTTGTGCTCCCCACTGTGGGAGGGACTTTTGCCTGCTCCAGTGTTGATATTGCTTTTGATTCAACAGATGCCTGTTCCCCGCTAATGATCACAGTGGCATCTGGCAGGGTTGGGGATGGTGGCAGAAATCGAGCCCTCTGGGAAAGCACTGGCTCTGAACTCACTCTGCCTTCTTCTGGATAATCATCAGGTGTTGGAACAACTGATTTCTCTCCACCCTTATTTTTCTTCCTGTTTTATCTGACATTGATTTAATAAAAGTTAAAGATCTGATGAGGATTTTTCATAACGCAGTGTTACTCTTGAGGTCAGGATAAAGCTGCTCAACTGTGATAAAGTCCTTGTGTGCCCAGGGCTGGTGTAATCCTGACACTCTGGCATCACCAGATGAGGGTCATCTTCTCCTAGCAACTGGCAATGAGCTTCTGGTAATTAGAAAGTTAAGAATCAGTGGAGACAGCATCTGTGGTGTTGTGACACACCATTAAACCCTTAATGCCTGGTTTGGGCTGAGCAGAGTCCACGGTGTGGGGAAGGGCTGGAGGATTTTGCTGCCTGTCTAATCCTCACGCCTGATCGCTGCCCTCGGAGCAGTGTGATGTTCCAGAGACTTAAACCCAAAGATTTCTAGGCTGACCTTGGTTCCCACAGTACTTTTATCAGATCAGTGTCAGAACACTTGCCAGCAGCCCAGTCAGGGTGTGGAGATGGGAACTGGCTGTTTACAAGATGTTTTTAACCCTGTCTCACAGCCCCCGCTAGTGAAGACACAGACTGTCACCATCTCTGACGTGTCCAGCGCCGTCAAAAGCGAAATTCCCACAAAGGAAGTCCCTATTGTCCACACAGAGACAAAGACCATCACCTACGAAGCTGCACAGGTAAGGTGTGTTCTGATGAGTTTCGTAGGGGCTTCATTAAACCCAAGTAAACGTTCTGTTTCTGAATCCTTAGGAAGAGACAGCAGCACCTGCCTGTCTCTGCATGTCTGGGTGCAGCACAGGCATTAACTGATGCTGTGGACACTATTTCCAGGTGCATCTGGTATTTCTAGAGGAGCAGTGGTTTTGCTATCCCTGAAGAATAATTATTTTTTCAAGATGTGTTTGCAAACAGAGTTTATCTTCAGCCACTGGTGGCTTCAGGATGTGGCTCTCTCTGTACAAAGTTAACCTGAGTTGGCCTTTTTTCTGCAATAAATGCCTTTTCTTGTTTTCCCAGATCTGAAGAGGGTGTTTATGCCTCTTCAGAACTTGGTTTTTAAATTATTTGGTCATCCTTAGGTTTCAAGACTGAAATGGTTGTTAAACACTAAATGTTCTGTATAAAATACAACCTCAGTGGGTATGTGGTGACTAGAAAGTAAAAATCTTAGTGGAGCAGTATTGCAAAGCAGAGGATATGCAGGTATGGATTCATTGCTGAGGTTAAAATTAATCCTCGGTCTAAACCAGAGGATTTTAATCACAGACTGGCAGGATGGTTTGGGGTGGAAGTAACCTAAGAGTTCACTCAGTTCCAGCCCTCTGCTGTGGGCAGGGACACCTTCCACTGTCCCAGGCTGCTCCAAGCCCTGTCCAGCCTTGGACACTGCCAGGGATCCAGGGGCAGCCACAGCTTCTCTGGACAACCTATGCCAGGGCCTGCCCACCCTGCCAGGAAACAATTCCTTCCCAATATCCCATCCAGCCCTGCCCTCTGGCAGTGGAAGCCATCCCCTCTGTCCTGTCCCTCCATGCCTTGTCCCCAGTCCCTCTCCAGCTCTTCTGGAGCCTCTTTAGGCCCTGAAAGGGCTGTAAGGTCTCCCAAGGCCTTCTCTTCTCCAGGCTGAACACACCCATCCCTCCCAGCCTTTCTTCATGTATTTGAAATTTTGGAGCCTGTGTCAGCTTGGCTCTGCCATCACTGTGGTTGTCGTCAGCAGCCTGTGCTCTCCTGTTGCAGTGAAGTGGCTGTGGGATGTTGTTATGGATGCAGGAATCTAATGATTGTATAATTTGGGATTCCTAAGGAATGCTGTGGCTGCTCAGCATCCTCCCAGCTGCAGCACCACAGAGATCATTCAGATAGTGGTGGTGAGCATTGCGCTGGCTTTCAGCAAGTGTAGGTGAATGGAGGAGTTTTGCTCTAACTGGGAAATGGAAAGGAAGAGTGATCTCCAGAGCTATGATCAGTCAGCCATGTGTGCACAGGATGTGATGTGCCATGAAATCTCTGCCACACTGTGGAAAATGGTCCCACCTTGTGGTAATTCCAGATATTGTCCCAATGCTGAGCAGGGACGCTGCCCAGTGGGGACATGGACAGCGCGGCCAGGATGACTTCGTTTGGGATTTTTGGCAGACCCTGAGTGGTTGAGTCAGGCAGGATGAAATCCAAGAACCAGCTCCAAAATTTGTTCCTGTTTCAGCAAACATCTGGATGTTCTTTCCTTCTGCAGAGCATGAAGTGAGGGATGTGCAAGGTGTTGTGAGGAAGGAGCAAGGGTGACAATTACCTTCTGAATAAGATTGTGCTCTTGGCTTTGTTGATCTCCATGGATGCAGGCAGGTGGAATTTGGGATCAGTGTCTGTGTTGGTCTCCTGTCACGGTTCAGGCATGGATGGTATGACCAGCACTGCAGGGCCAGCAGCATGCTCAGACTTGGGTACGTCCCAGTGCCCCTGGTCTGAGGGGTGTCACAGGTCCTCCCTGAAGGATCTGTGCTTTTCCAGCCTTAAAGCATAGGGACTTTGAGCTTTCAGAGACTTGCCCAGCTCTTGTGCACCTAGGCGCAGGTTGGCTTGTGTCTTGTGCACGATGGAGCTGCTGTCCTCAGATTATCCTCTGTGTGGCTCTGGTGATGTGGAGTCTTTGCTTCTGTCCCCACTGCTCAGGGGCTGACGGCCTGTTCTTGTGTCCCACAGACAGATGGTGGCAATGGGGATTTAGACCCTGGCATCCTGCTGACTGCCCAGACCATCACTTCAGAAACCACCAGCAGTACCACCACCACCCAGATCACCAAGGTAACACCAGGGAGCACCACAAAACACCAGTTCAACCAACAGCCTGATGGAGAGATGAGCAGGGATGAGTGAGAGGAAAAAAAGTTTTTGGAAGGTCCTTTCAAATACATGATTAGTACATGGAGCAAAGCATGAAGGGTTCAGTTTTGTCTGTGTTAAATCTGTGGATTGTGCGTTAATTGCAGCACAGTGTGGACATGGACTCTGACTGTCCTGTGGGGGACAGCAGGAAGAGCTGTCCTGTGAGGAGAAGCTCTTCCCTGGCTCAGCTATAAAAAATAACTCTTTGACAGTTTTTCCTTGAGCAGCAGCAGTTTCCCCTGTGACTCTAATGCCAGGTACAATTTGGTGACACTATTTTTGGATACCATCTTTAGACAGGCAGCCCCAGTGAGCTCAAACGCCTCTGCACTTTTACACTAACAGCAGCTTTTCCTTCTGCTCTAGACTGTGAAAGGTGGCATTTCAGAGACACGGATTGAGAAGAGGATTGTCATCACGGGAGATGCAGATGTAGACCATGACCAGGTAGGAGTATGGATATGATCCAAAAGAATTTCCCAGAGCTGGCAAAAATCAGTCAGGCTGCCTGTTCAAAGACAGTGTCACCAAAAAATGAACCAGGGAAATTTTACTGGGGTAGAGATGAAAGTTCATATTCTTATAAATTGTGGCTGCTCTATCCCTGTAAATATTCAAAGCCAGGTTGGACAGGGCTTAAAGCAACCTGGTCTAGTGGAAGATGTCCCCTGCCCATGGCAGGGGGTGGAATGGGATGAGGGTTTTTAGATCCATTTCCAACCAAGCCATTCCATGATTCTATATCAGTAATAAATTTCTTTTGACATTAAGCATCTGAGACAGGAAAGCTGAATTCTATTCTGAAACTGATGAGCAGCAAAGTTTTGATTCCAGAATTGTTTCAGACAGTTTTGTAGGCTTTTTAAAAAAATCCATAAAAATGTGAAATAAAAGTTTTCCTTGACATCTGGCTGATCTGCATTCCTTTTCCCATAACTTTGAAGCACTATTGCTATTCTGTAGTGCCAGAAGTAATTTCAGAGCACTCAGCACCTGTGTAGCATCTCTTTGGCTTTATATGAAACCTTTCTGATGACTCAGTCTCGTTGGCCTCTTGCATGTGTTGGAAGTGATGATTTTGTCATCAGAGAATTATACTTTGAATTTAAATTTAGTCGCAAGTATCGTGGGGGTGGAAAATATTCTTATGACAAGATCTAGTTTATTAACTCCACCAGAAAATGTCTGAGATGTGCCTATCACACTTGCTGCGAAGAATAAGCAGGTTATGCTTAAATGCTCTCATCCATCTTCTGCCATGGGGCAGTGGAGAGATGGAGGTATTGTTCAAGTAGTGCTTTTCCTTTCAGAGATAATGTAGTAGCACTAAAAGTCACCAAAGTGTGTGGCTGAAGTCCTGGGGGCAGTGTTGGGCACCACAATTTAAGACCTAAAACAATTAAGAGAGATTCCAAAGGAAGCTCTGGAGATGGTGAAGGATCAGGAAGGGCCATGGAGGGGGTGGCTGAGGGCACTCACTGTGTTCAGCTGGAGCAGAGGACACTGAGGGCAGTGCTCAGCAAGGGCTGCAGCTCCGACCTCTGCTCCCTGTGATGGAGGAGGTTTAGGCTGGAGCTCAGGGCAAGGCTCTTCCCCCAGAGGGTGCTGGCACTGCCCAGGCTGCCCAGGGAATGGGCACGGCCCCGAGGCTGCCACAGCTCCAGGGATGCCCAGGCTGGGGCTGTTGGGGAATCTGGTCAGGGCCTGGAGTGGACTGGATGATTCCTGTGGGTCCCTCCCAACTCACAATTGTAATTTTCCTATAATTCTATCAAGTGCATCTACTTTTCTTTTTTACACTCTGGAGTTAGAAGAAGGCTCTTGTGTCCTTGGTGGGTGCCATGCTCTGACACTCTGACGTGCTCTAACCTTTGCTCTCCGTGCTGTCCCTCAGGTCCTGGCACAGGCGATCAAGGCTGCTAAGGAGCAGCACCCAGACATGTCGGTGACCAAAGTGGTTGTGCACCAGGAGACAGAGATTGCAGAGGAGTAATTGGGCTGTGTGAGTAGAGACATCACCTCGAGTGGGGGCAGGGGATGGCTGATCTCAGTGCACAGGAGATTTGGGTAAATAGGGTCAGAGTTGAAGTAAAATGATCATTGTTCTCTGCTGAGTCCTGCTCATGCCTCTTCCTGTTAGATCCATGGAGGCTGATGAGGCAGTCACAGACAGACTAATCCTGTGGAAATGAGCCCAAATGGGTTAAAAGCTACACAGCTTCTGCCATGAGGCTACTTTGCGTTCCCAAATATCCATGATGTGCTGAGAGCACATGGAACAGCTGTAGGTGCCACATAGACCCCTGCCCACATCAGTGCCCAGTAACCCTCAAGCTGCACTCCAAGCTTGCCTGGAAATCCCATTTACTGCAAAGTTTGGGAAGGAGCTGCTGAAGGAATCCAGGAGCTCTGGGTGTACCTCAGTGCGTTAAAGGCCATCCTGCCCCATGCCACTGATCACAGAATCCAGGAATGGTTTGGGTTGGATGGGGACTGTAAAGTTCATCCAGTCCCACCCCTGCCATGGGCAAGGACACCCTCTACTGTCCCAGGATGCTCCATACACTGTCCAGCCTGGCCTTGGACACATCCAGGGATCCAGGGGCAGCCACAGCTCCTCTGAGCATCCTGTGCCAGGGTCTCACCACCCTCCCAGAGAAAAATTCCTTTCCAATATCCCATCTAACCCTGCCCTCTGGTATTCTTGTCCTGTTGCTCCAGACCCTTGTGCAGAGTCACTCTCCTGGAGCCCCATTAGGCACCTCTCACCTGCCTCTGGTGGTAACTCATCCGACGTCAATTCCCATCCACTTCAGGGAGGCATATTCCTGTCTTTTCCAGCATGCTGCTGGTGGTGCAACTTACTGTCTTCCTCTCTTGCTAGGAAACGTTCCTGCCCATGACAACACCAGGAAAAAGAAACCCAGCAAAACTACCAAGAAACTACCTGGAGCACAAAGACCTCGGATTTCAGACTTGACACTCAGAGACATTCATATCATTTATTAAGAGTTGCGCTTTGACATTTTACTTGAGATTTTTCCAGAGTCCACTAGATCCTACTGGATATAGGGTTTTGTTTTGTTGGGTTTTTTATATCTATCGCGACAGAAATATGCCATATTTCTAACTTCTAAAATATTTCTAGTATTTTTTACAGGTTTTCAGTTTTGCATTCCCTCTCACGCAAAGCCTCTTCAGACACAGAATCTCACCTCACAGGGCTCCAGGGCTCCCTGTTTTAACTTGTATTCCCTCTGCCTCGTCAGGGATAACGGAGCTGTTCCGTGCGCGTTCCCGGTGCGGGCTCTGTGTGCGCCTTCACAAAGCCATGGGTCCTTCTTCCAGGAGAGTCAGTTTAAAGAGTCAGACTTTGTGCAGCATTTCCAATTGCCTCTAGATTATTTTTGTAGCTCTGGGGAGCTCCAGCCCCGCTGCAACCCCTGGGCTGCTCTGAGCTCCCTCCCCACTGGGTTCCAGCCCTGATGTGTGATCACAGTAGGGTTTTGTGGTGTAGCCTGTGCACACATCTGAATAGTTGACTAGATTTAAGGAATACTGGAAGTTGCTTCAAGTATCTTATACTGTGAATTTTAGAGCTTTAAGAGGATAGCATCTCGCCTTCTTCCCGTGTGTCTCTGCTGAGTGCTCCCCACCTGTTTGTGTTTTCTAGATGCCATTAAATTAAAAAGCCCTTAGAAGTGTGTGTTTAAGGTGTTTGGACTCGGGATGCTATTAAGGTAGGCTTGTGCAGCATTCACAGCAGGAACTGAGCTTTTCAATGTCATAGTTTTTCACTTGTTTGTGTTCATGATTTTTAAATTACACAGGGGTTTTTTGGTTTTTTTTGTAAGTCATGGGTTGGGTTTTTTTCCTCCCCTCACAGTGCTATTTAAAGCTGAACACGTTACCCATTTCTCAGAGCGTGTATCCTACTAGCATTTAATTTAAACTCCTTTAGACAATCCTTCCTAGGCCTGCAAGCTGTATTTGGAGAGGCTGAACAAGGAATTTTAGGAGGTGTCAGGTGTTGCTGATTGTGAAAGAGCCAAACCACATGGGAAGTGTTGACATTCCCTCTTCCACACTGGCCTGCGGGTCTGGATTTGGCTTCATGACCCCCTTGCTGGAATGAAGTATCAGGGTGATTGTCTGAATCTTGAGGCTGAGCTTACAGACCCCCAGGGCCATCTCCAGCACAGAGGGGGTGATGCAAAAGCATGATTTCAGGGGCTGGATGTGCTCTCATTTCTGCTCTCTAAGCTTCATGGGAATGTTCTTGCCTGGTTTGTCCTTCCACCATTTAAATTCAAGAAGCAAAAAACCAACCAAGCTCTGTAAAGAGTCTGCCCAGACACTTGTGAACACTTTAGTCCACTTGAGGTTGTGATTTTTTTTTTCATGTATAAATATACATATACATATATATATATGTATATATAGTGTGGCACAGTGGTAGCTGAGGGCAAAGAGTGCTCTGCTCCTCAGGTGAGGATGGGAAAAAAATGGCAATAAAGAGAAAAGCTCTTCAGTTTTAAATTTGAATCATGTATTTCAGAAGTCACTGGATTTAGCTCAGGCTGCAGCGACTCCACTGTTTAGCTGCAGCCAGCCCTGGAACTACACTGGGGCTGGTGCAGCTTCTCAGCTTCAGGTGCAATTTTAATTAAGTTGTCAGTATTGATTGGAGACTCTGCTGGAGCTGCTGGATTTTGGCTCTCTTTGAGCCTTGCTGGCCCTGGTCCTGCTCAGCCTCCAGCCCTCCTGTGCCACAGCTGCCTCTGGGCTGCTCTGGTGCAGGTTTCCCTCCTGGGACGCTCTGCCTCCCTCAGGGCATCCTGCTCTGGGGATTGAGGGAGTCCTGGGCTCTGGTGCAGAGATTTAGTCTTCCTATCCATGTCTGAAAAGCCCTTCCTTATTCTGCCATGCAGGCCCTGGCAGAGGCTCTGCTGCCCTCAGCTGAGTTGGGTAATGCTTGCCTTAAACACCCATCATGCTGAGCACCCTCTGCCACTGCCCTTTTTCTGGAAATTGAGTCCTTTGCCACTCAATCCTTCCATCTCATTTGCAACAGACACCTGAAGAGTGAAGGGGCACATGGAGCAGTGGCTGAGAGGATTTCTGGGCTTTACCAGGCACAGCCAACATGATAAATTCAGTTTGTCCATAGCACTTAAAGGCACTTGGCTGTCAGGAGAGTTTAGGGGAATGTGGTCCATGGTGTTCCCTTGGGGTGTCTGTGCCCTGAGCACCATGAGTGGGACAGAACACCCCAAGCAGGGATTTCTGGGTGAGAAGCCTGCTGGCAGGAGAGCTGGTTCCTTTCCAAAAGGATGTGCTCACTGTTGCTGCACATGTCCCTTGTTAAAGGACCTGTAGACGAGAACAACAATTTTTTTTCCTTGGATTTTGGGTGTCTGTTTTCCATTTTCACACTTCCCCCTGCTGAGTTCTTGCTTCTCCTGGAGAAATTCAGACAAGTTCTGGCCTCATGTGCCCTTTGCCATCTCCTGCTGTGTAACCTCAGGGGTCTCCAGCCCCACTCCTGCCAACACAGTGCCCGAGCCCAGGAGCCTGGGAAGAAGATGCAAGTTAAAAGCAGAAGAAGCTTCTCTCACCCTCAGCCAAGGCCATGGTGGGGCTGCCCACTTCCCTTCTACCTCTGGTGGGATTTAAAATCCTTGGCTCTGAGCATGCTGTGTCAGCTCTAGGGACAAACCAGCTAAGTAAGGTCTATTTATATGAATGTTCCCAACTCTTCCCACTCCACAAATTCACCCAGAGACTGTCTTGATTGTATAATATGCATTATATGGAAGCTATTTATATATGAATGAATGTTTTTATAGAAAGGAAGGCAAGGAGCTCTTGTTCTTCTCCATTAAATTGGAATGGCAGCTCCAGTTGCCCAATAGGAGTCCCTGACCAACAGAGATGTGTTAGCAAAGGACTGACTGATTTCTGATTTTAATAAACTGTGGTTTGCTGATTTTCCTAATTGTACAATTACCTTAAGAGGTGTTAGTGTCCCAGCCTTAGAGATGAAACTTGTAAAAAACAAAACAAAAAAATTATTTAGTTGAGAAGATGAAGGAGCTTTGTAAAAAATTTTTAAGGCAATTGTGAATTGTCTAGGTTAGGCATTTACAACTCTTTATAAAAATAGGAACTTTTAAAGTTGGCAAAACTTTCTAGATCAACTAGTGGTGGGAGTTGTTATTTTGGATTTTCATAGTGAATCAAAGGGAAAGTTGCCATAGTGTTTAGGCAGACCTAAGTGTTCTGTATTGCTTCTTGTACTGCATTTTTCAATAAATCTTCAAACAAAATTCTTTCCCTAGTGTTGAATTCTCTTCCTCCTTCTCATCTTCCTCCAGGTCTCTCTCCGTAGCCTGGCTTTGTGGTGACTTGGTTTTACCAGCCCAAACCAAAGCCCCCAAATGTGGCTACAATGGTGCCAAAGCTCTCCCAGCCCTGGGCCAGCATTTCCCTGGGCTCTTGGTGCCTTCAGACCCTTCAGACAGTTCCCATTGTGGTCACATATGGGACCAAAGCCCCAGAAATGGCAGAAGCAATTCCCAGAGTTCAAATTTGCCTCAAAGAAGCATCACTTGATGTAAAACCTTCATTTGAGCTGTGAAATTTGTGGTGAGACCAGGTGAGGTCTATGCTCAGCAGCTACTGCCCAACCCTAAGTGTGACTCAGCTAGAGTGGGGGGAAGTGTCAAATCCATTGATATTTTGGTTCTATCTGATTTTTTTTCTGGCTGCAGCAGCTTTAGGAGGGACAGAAATAAGGCACAAAAAGCTGACAGGGCATCTTGGCTGCAGGCCTGACAGAGAACAAGAGCCAGATGGCCCAGTTAGGGCAGTTGGAGACTGGAAATTGGCTGGGAAGAGCTTCCCTGGGGGCAGGGGCAGCCCAGGCCTGGCTGTGGTGCCTCAGTTTCCCTAACAGGCAGAAAGAGAAGGGTGGCACGTGGCATGTCCTGCTAAAAGCTCTGAATTCCCATTGCCGCAGACAGAGCCAGCATAGTTTCCACCCTGATCCTGGACAGTTTGCTTCCAAGAACTAAATCTCAGTGTCCTGTAGAGCCAGAATTACCAAGGAGCTGACCCTGGAGAGCTGGGAACCTGCCACCCCTGGAGCTGCTTCCCTGTGAGAGTCAGCATGGCTCACTCACAGCTCTGTGGCAGAGCCAGGCCCCGTTATCCCCCAGCTCCTGCCCTGCCCAGCCCAGCAGGGTCAGGCTGCAAACAGCCCTGTTCAGGGAGCTGGGCACATCCCAGCACCTCCAGACAATGCACTGGTGTGAGGGGCCATGGCTGGCTATGAACCACAGCCCCAAAAACATCACGTCTGCAGACAACCCACCAAGAAATCCCTTTGGTTAGCTGCACTTTGGGATGTCAGCCCCTGCTCAATGGCCAAGATATCATCACCTGCTCCCACTTTTGGCCCTGTTAAGCATCACCTGGGGACCAGCTCCAAGCTCTGTCAAGCTCCTGTGGGGCCCAGTCTGTCCCACAGCTACCACCTCCAACAACAATATGGGATTGTGCTGGACTACACCAGTGTGTCCTGGCAGAAACACCATCATCAGCCTTGGGACTCCCACACGGAGGGGACCTGGGCCTGATGGTTCCCATGGGGCTTCTGGCACATTCCTGTCCTGGACACTGCAGGGACGTCAGTGGCACCAGGGATATGGTCCCATATTGCCCATCCACCCAAACCATTGTGCTTTGCTGGGCAGGAGCGTTGCCATCACTGGTGAAGGGACACCCCAGCACAGGTGACACTGGAACCCCATCCAAAATGCCCAGGAGAAAAGTGTCCTCAGCTTATTTCCCCAGGGTACAAGTGCAGGGACAGCAAACACCCACCTCGATGCTCAGCAGTCTGGGGCCATCCCAGGAGACTGGAAAGGTTTTTCCTTAAGGCTCCCCAAAGCTGCTCTTGGGTGAGTGTCCCAAACCCAGGGTGCCTTTACCCACCTCAGCCAGAGCAGGAGGGGGTGTGGTAATGTTGCCTGTGGCATTTTGCCTGGCTACAAGCTAGGGAGAATGTTAGGCAAAAAAATACCATGGCAATGCAGATGCAAAGAAATGAAACCCCCACCCCTCGTCCCAGCTGCGCAGGAGGCAGCAGCTTCTGGCAGACCCATCCCAGCCCCCAGATCCCACACCAAAGGCAATGACTGCCTTGGAGATCCCATCCTTTGGGAAGAAGCCACAAAAGTGGCTTTCCTTCATCACCCATCCCTGGTCCTTCCTCATGTCTCCATCCCAGAACTCAACCTGGAGAAGCAGCTGTCACATCAGCAGGGGAGAGTTCCCATTAAGTCACCAGTTTATTCCAGCCCAGGCGCTTTTCAGGCTGCTCCTCCTGGTTTTGGGGCTCAGCAGCCAGTCGTGTTCCTGGGGGATCAGGGCTGCTCTCAGGGCTCCAGGGGGAATTGCTGTGGGAGCCAGGTAGCAGCGGGTGACTCCATCCCTTCCACCGGGGTCTGAGATAAACAGGATTGAAAGGGAGGAATTATGTTGGCAATGGGCCAGGTTGGACATGCTGAGCTCAGCTCTGTGCTCCATCACTGGGGAAACTGAGGCATAAAAGAATAGCTAAAACCAGGTGGGGAATCACCTCAGGTCCTGCAGTGGCTGGGTCAATGACCTTGGATTCATCCCTGCTCCATCCCAACCACCCAAAGAAGCACCAGCGCAGACTCCTGCAGATTCATGGGCATCTTTTGCTTTTTGCCACCAGCACAGGCAGTGATCCCTGATGGGCTCCAAGCCAAAGCCTCAGAGGTTTCGGCTCCAGCCCCATGCCAGCACTCAGCTGTCAGGACACATCACACAGATGTTGACAACACTGAGGGAACTTTGGCTTTTGACCCAGGACCAGCCCCAGGGCAATCCATCCCACATTGCTCAGCCCATTTCTACAGTAGGATTCATGTGCAGAGCCTTGGGTGCCAGAGAATCTATACAGGACACCCCCAAACCCACAGGAAAAAAAAATTAAAAATAATTAAGCAACTACTCCCAACCCCAGCCCAGCTCCAGCTCCCCTGGGTAGTGGGAAGCACTAGGATGGGTGCCTTTGGCTCTGTGCTGGCTCACTAATGCAGAGAGGCATTTTGTATCACACTCTTGCCCTTTTTTAAAATAGAAATCAGTCCCCTGCCAAAAGGGGAGCACAGCTGCACCCATCCCAGCGCTGCTCTGTAGCCACGGAGGGCAGAAGCCACACTCACCCAGCACAGGTCACAGCGTCCCCTGCGCGTCACCTCCCCAACCTCGGCAGGAGATCGATGGCAGCATCACTCACTGCTGGCTGCACTGCAAGTGTGTGCTGGGAGCCCAGCCCTCGCCTTCCCGCAGACCTTAAATCTTAACAAGGGCACTCTGGCCAAGCAGATTCATGGCTGTGACCGGCCCCACTGCGGAAAGAGGAGGAGGAGGAGGAAGAGAAAGAGCTGAAACCAGCCAACAGCTGAGCAGTATCAGGGAGTGATTGTCCCCAGCTGTGGCTGTTGTGCTCCCTGGGGACAGAAGCATCCCCAGCAGCAAATCTGGAGACTCACTGGCACTACTGGGGTGTCCCCAGGCATGAGAGACCCTCTCACAGCCACCAGCAGGGTCTGCACCTCCCCAGCGCACATCTCCCACACAGCCTGTGGTAGCGGGTCCCTCAATCCATTTTCCCCATTTTATCAAATTTTGGCCCAAACTAAGCTGTCCTGTAGCCATGCACGAGCTGAGAGGTCTCTTGGTGCTGGGGGATAACTGCAATTTCCCTTGGTCTCTCCAGCCTCCATCCTCTGGTCCAAGGGTCAGTCCTCGTCAGCCTGGACATGCTGGTGTTGGGAACAATCCCCCAGTTTTCTTTGCTGGTGTTTACAATGAAATTCCCCTCCTGTTGGTAGGAATCTCCTCCTGCAGTGGGCACCTCCTGGGCTGGGATACCCTGGGGGTGACAACAGCTGGATATTTAGTCCATAGTGTATCCAGCCAGTTCCTGAGCAGGACAGAAGGTGCCTCCAAGCACTGCCCTTCACAGGCTGTGCAGTGTGGCATCTCTGGGGCTTCCAGGGTTGTTCCACTTCACAACCCTGCAGCCAAACAGTCAATGGAGGGATCCATCCAGGGTGTACATTTTTACTTTTACTTTCTGTTTCTAACCTCACCCTGCCCAGTCACTCCCAAAACACTGTGAGGACAGCACCCATGGCATCCATCCACTGAAACCAGCACTGCTAATATCCCACAAACACGCTGGGAACAGTGTCCACGGACAGAGCTGAAGGTGAGGGATGCACAGATGTTGCTCTTCCCTGGAAAAGGCTCGGGGTTTCTCACCCTGCCAGATTGATTGACCAAACTGCTTTGCATTTTGAAACGATCCCTGTGTCACTCAGAAATGCCTCCCCTGGAGGATGCTGCTGAGCTGGGAAGGAGGATGGGGCAGGAGGATGATGCTGGTGCAGGCACATGGTCCATGCAGGTTGCCCTGTGGTCCAGCCATTTCCAACAGTTAGACTGAGCCTCAGCCAGAAAATGAAGGGGAAAAATTAAAATAAACACCCCCAGTAGCTTCTCACGCGGCTCCTTGTGGCATTTTGGGCTCCAATTTCTTGCTGCCAGTTCCCAAAGCATGGCCCAGGGCCCAGCATTAGCTCTGGCTGCAGATGGTTAAGCCCAAGTAAAAAGTTATTTTTGGACAAAAACAACCCTCTGGCACTTCCTCTATGGTGCTGCTCCAGGGCAGACCCCAATGGTGACTTTTTCTCGTTGCTGTTCATTGCATTGAATCAGAGCCTAAATAATGTTGAGATTAAGCAGCCAAATAAATAGCTGAGCTTGGGCTGGTATCACTCCCAGAGAGTCCTCTGGGATGCAGCTGGGCCCAAACTGCAGCTGTGGGTCCCATCTCTGGTCCCTGCACAGGGGAAGTTGTACCCAAGCTCTCTGGGAGGGCTGGCACTGCAAACAGAGACAGCTTTTCCCTGTAAAGCAGAACCACCCCCATCAAAGCATTGTGGGGGGCTGCTTTTTGGGAGATGAGGGAGCTGGGGTAGAAAAAGCAATTTCCAAATGATTTTATTGGGATGTTTTGATCTGGAGAAGGATGTTGCTCCCAAAGTTGCAAGGTCTGACACTCTGTGTTCAATTCAGACCAGAGAGGGAGAAGCAGGGACAGGAATAACCCTCCCCCCACCCCCTGCCCCCAAACATTTCATACAGATAAAAGAGATTTCAGTCATCCCAAGAGGCCCTGGTTTTGGGAAGGCAAAAGGCAAAGATCCCATCTAGGCTGCCACAGCCATTTTGAAGCCTCCCGAGTTGCTGGAGAGCAGAGCTGTCCCAGTCCTTCCACATCACTCCAATCCATCCTTCCACATGCCCTGGCATCCCGGGGCTCCCCCTGCCCAAGAGAGCAGGAGGGAGTAAGAAGGGATGGGATGAAGCCCCAGCTCCCTTTTCTCCAGGAATCCACCCTGTGCTGAGGCTGCCTCTCTGGCCTCATCCCATAGAGCTCCCGCTCTGCATCCAACAGGCACCAAATAACAGAGCAGCACTCTGGCAAAACCAGCACTGACACTCCCCCAACTCTCTGCCCCTTCATATCCTTCCTCCCACCAACTGCATCCTCCATGCCACCAAAACCCAGCACAAACAAACCTAGATCCACTGAGAGGCTCTCAGAATTGCTGCACCCCAGGTGGGCAGCAGCACCTTGCTCACTGCCTGCAGCTCCTTGGGCACCTTTTACATCCCTTCCCTCCATAAAAATCCCAAACCTTGCACTTATCACCCCATCCTCTGAATGCTGAGCAGCTGGTTATGGAGCATTCCTTCTCCGGTGGAGTCTGGGTGGGGGCACAAGGTCTCACGGACCCTCTGGACAGACGGCCACAGGCGCTGCCCCTCCCAAGCATCCCACAGGCAAGAGGAGGAGGCAAGGCAGGACCACATGGCATCCAGATAATATTTAATAGCCCTGTTGGGCCTACGTGCTCTGGCCAAGCAAATTTTCTGGTGGATTGAGGCTGGACAAGGGGACATCACCCCCCAAAGCATCTCCCCACCCCAAACCTACTGAGATAAAGTGCTGTGGGGGCTGGTGGGGCTTCACCCGCCCCCATGTCCCTATCCCACAATTTGTGTGGGATCTCAAAGTGAGGACTCCTCTAGAAAAGCCACCAGGAAAAGGTCTTGTAAGGCCAAGGGCATCCATCCGGAAGGACATCCCACCTAGGCGAGTCCTCACTCAGGAGCAGAGGGTCAGGACCTTCCTCTTGGCATTGGCGTAAAAATGCCACCCCCAAAACCCCTCTTGCATGTGGTGGGTACCGCGGGCCAGGATGAGGGACTGGGATGTTACAGTCCCCAAAGGTGCTGGGGACATCAGACCCGTGTGCCCTGCTCCATGCCCACCACCCAGGAGCTGGGCAGGGGCTGGCCCTGGCCTGGGCACTCGCTGGGCTCCAGCAGCTGGTCCGAGGACTCGCCAGTGCTCTCCAGTTTGGCGTAGCCCACGAGGCTGACGTGGTCCAGCCGGGGCCAGCTCCGGTTCTTGCGGTCCTTGATGGGGGCCACCAGCAGCACCCCCGGCCGGCCAAGGTCCAGGGATTTGGAGTGTCCCGGGGTGTGGAGGTGCACATCGGGGCTCAGCTCCACCAGCGGCTCCATGCCAGGACAGCTGTCACCCATGCTGATGACAACGTGGCCACCGCCACCATCAGCGTCGTGGCCGCAGGGTGCGGTGCTGTCACCGATGGAGAGCTGTGATGTTTTGGGAGGACGCTCAGCAGGGCCCCTCTGTACCCTCCCGCCAGCCCCCCGCGCTGCCCCGTCCAGGAGGCAGTTGTTGAGTTTGATGATGGGCAGCGTCAGGGCCCCCACGGCCGAGGACAGGAGGGACTCGGCTCCGGCGCCGCGCGGGAGGCTCAGGTTGGCCTCGGTGGAGCGGAGGCTGCGGAGAGAGGCCGCGGGTGAAGCTGCCGGGTGCTGCAGGAACTCGGCCATGGCCTGGAGCCGGTTGGGGCCGTAGCAGTCAGACCACTTGCTGCCAGGGCTGGGGCAGGGCTGACAGGACAGGTCCACCTGGTAACAGCCCTCCACGCACTCAGTGTTGGCCTTGGGGAAGGGCTGGCTGTCCCTGTGCAGGCAGTGCCCATCCTCGGGGCTGGTCCCCCCAGGCAGCCCCACTGCCAGGCTGTAGAGCCCCTTCTGCATCAGCTGCCGGGTCTCCATGTCCCTGTTCTCGTACAGCATCGTGTTGGCGCAGATGAAGATGAAGAGCCCGATTCCCATGATGACAGGGCCGATCAGCTTCAGCTTCTCACTGTGGGGCACGTGGCGCCCAGCCACCACCTCCCTCCTCATGTCCCCCACCACACTGGTGTTCCCCACGCTGGCCTCGGTGCCCCCGTGTCCCCGGTGAGGCCAGTAGCCCACCACGGCAATGGTCATGCCCACCAGGACCACAGAGATGCCCACCATGACGAAGGCACCCGCGGGTGAGCGCATGCGGAGCTGCCCCTTCAGCGGGGGTTCTGTCGGGGGCTGGCGCCGCAGGCGGCCCCGGCGCCGCGGGGGCACGGGGGGCACCGGCACCTTGGGCCCTCTGGGCTCCGCTTCCCGCATGGGCCCGTTGGATTCGGCGCTCCCTGCAGTCATCGTCTCCGGCACAGCCACAATTCCTGCACAATGGGAGGAGAAAAAGGTGAGCAGGCATCATTGGGGGTCCCTGTGCCCGGGATGCTGGAGCACAGGCACCAAAGGGACACTGGGAGCATTGGGATGCCAGGAGCACAAGGACACCAAGCCCACAGGTCACACTAGGCAGGGACGAGCAGCTTCGCTCTACCCAGCTCCCCTCTCTCCTCAAGTCACTTCTCTCTTCCCAGTGAGGAGTGAAGGGCTGAGGCACCCCTTCCAGCCACGCTCCCAAAGCCCCCAGACTCATCCCTCTGAACCCCTGAGCTGCGCAGGACAGCTGGGACCCTGCTGTGCCGCACCCAGCACGGAGCCATCGCAGCCTAAGGGACCTGTCCTAGGTCACCCCAGCCCTGCAACACCTGCAGAAGGTGACACTCCCAGTCTGCCACACCAGCAGTGAGGGAAGGGGCCATTTATTCATCTGCTGGGGAAACTGAGGCACCTGGAAACTCAAATGAAAGGTCTGACACAGCCACACCACCCAGAGCCCCATGAGTGATGATCCAAGCAGGACCTAAAAACCTAAATCAACATCAAGCCACTCATCAGACGGCAGGACCCATCAATCCATGGAGAATTTAAGCTAAAAGAGGTGTTTTTCCCAATTTTCTGCTGTCTCCTATTTCCTCTGACCTGCTCAGTGCATCCCCAGGATCCTACCCTCACACACACCAACATAAAACTCCACATCTAGGGATTTACAGTGCGTTGTATGTCATTTTATCCAGAACTTTATTTCCTAGATGAGCAAAAAGGTGTGGAAGCTGCAGCCCAACACAGCAGGTGACCAGCCTGGCAGGAAGCATCAGCTGGGCTGGCACGATTGTGCTTGGGATAAGTGGAACCCTGGGAAGCTAAAACAGGCCTTGAACAAGTCCCAGACCAAAAACATCTTTAAAAAACTATAAATAAGCTGATGCTGACAGGAATCCGTGTCCTCACAGCGTGGTGCTGTGTGCCCAGCCATGGCTGGCAGTGGGGCTGGGGCAGGACGGGGTGTCCGCGCACTCGCCTGCGTCTCCTGGCACTGCCAGCATGGAAATGTTGCCCAGGCCATTCCCAAAGGAATATCCCTAAGGGGATGTGAGCAGGGAGAGCTACAGGGTGGCCCTCAGCCAACGGATGCTGTGGGAGGGGGCTTGTCACCCCACTGCATCTTAAACTGTCAAGAAAAGCATTTGGATAACACAATCATGGATATTCAGCAAATCAAATCCAGAAACCACACCCAAGGAGAGCCCTGCAGGAGAAGAGGGATGACCACTCCAATTTCACTCCTCAAGATGAATGAAGTACTGAGAGCCAGTGACCAGCATCCAAACAGCAGAAAAATACTACTTTTTTTTTCCCAGTTAATCATCTTAAAGTGTTATTAGCATCAGAGGGAAGGAATTAAAAATATGAGATCCAGGATGACAGCTTGTTCCTGGCATAAGGCTGTCAAGCTGTGACAATTCGAGTAAGGTAGATGTAAAGGGAAAAAAAAATAAAGTCCCAAACAAACCAGACCAAACCCCAGTCCACTGCTGAGTGGGGTGTTAAGGCTTTCTGAAAAATAAACTGATAATCCCACATGGCAAAAGGAAAACATAATAAACCCAAGGTAATGTTCATCCTGAAAAATGAGGCTTTAAATATTTTGATAATTAAGGGAATCTACTGGACACTTGACCACATCCCAAAGACTGTGGGCTTTTTGCCTCCAAATGCCCTGATTAAGGTTATATCTCAATTTTCTCTAATTGCCGTCTTAGCTTCAAACTCTCTTAATTTTTATAGCAAACCCTTTAAATGCCTTGCTGGCTAGTTAGAGATTAAGAAGAGAATAACCCTCCACATTGCAAGAGAAAGCTCTTGGACACTGACTGGGGGGAACACGACCCCCACAGCTCACGACCCCAAACTCACACTGAACACACTCCTGTTTTATCAAACACTCCTGTTTTATCAAACACTCCTGTTTTATTCTGCAGCCTCAGCCATACCTCTTTAACTCCAATTCCTCTAACCTCTCTAGCACTTCCCCCTCTCCATCTGGAATCAAGACCAGTTCCACAGGGACCAGGAGCATCCCTGATGTCCCACCTGCGGGTACAGAGAGCCTCCCATGGGGACAACAAGCTTTGCTGGGGTGCTGCCTGTGAGGACCATGAGCACCTCCCAAATTCCGCCTGTGAGGACCACACATCCCCTGGATCCTATTCAGGACAATGCTTTGGGTCTAGGTGATGTTCACCTGGCCTGCACCAGGCTGCTCTTGCCACACTTTAGCTCTGGATACAGTCTGGAATTCATCTCAGGCTGCCTGGGAAGGGGTACAGGAAGATGAGGGGCGCCCACCCACCCCACATTCACAGGGTCCAGACCACCCTGAGGCCGAAACAATCCCCTTCCCACCTCCTCTGCTCTTCCCTGGGCACAGGGACAGAGGTGCTGGCAGGGGGGACAGGCAGATGCCACCAATCTGGTTGCAGGTGGGGAATCCCCTCTGCAGCCCTGGCCACTACTCCTGCCCAGGCTGCCTGTCCCTTATGTGCCCACGGCTGTGTTCTGAACTTGGAGCATTTCCCTGCTCATTGCTGGGGCTGGCTGCTCCCAGAGTTCAAAACCATTATTTTTATTAATAGAATCCCCAAGGTTATATAACCCTTTTAGAAAAAATAAATTTAAAAAATACAAAAGCCAGCGCTGGCATTCCCTGCTGCGCCCTGCAGCCGCCGGCAGTGCCGCGAGTGGATGGATCCCACGCTGGAGCAGCGGCGCCAGACACGGCCGGAGCACAGAACCGGGCTGGGACAGCCCGACCAGGCTGGGGACAGGCAGGGGCTCACTGCTCCTCGGCATCCCTGGGCAGCCCCGAGGCATTTGTGGCTCACCAGGATGAGCTCTGAGGTTTCCATTCCCGGTGGGAAGGAATGACAGTGTGGAACTGTAAATGTCGTTCTGGAGCGGGATGAGCACTGCTCTGCTGCCAGGTTAAGCTCCCAATCCCCGCAATAAGCCTGACATTAAAATAAACCCAAATATTTCTCTAATCCCTCCCATCACGAAGGCACATTGCTGGCTCCACCCTCCCACCTCAATCCTCTCTGGCCGCCTTCGCAGATTGATTCTCCTAAAATTTGACACTAAATCCCAATGCATCTGACAGCAGCAGAGCTGGGTGGTGGTAAAGCCGAATTTGGGAGAGGTCCCTCCTGCAGGCAGGTCCTCAATTCCTCTGGGTGTCCCTGGGATGCTCTGCCCCTACCATGACCACACTGCCAGCTTGAATTTCCAGCATCAAAGGCTATCAAAAAGCATAAATGGCCACCAAATCTCCCTCCGGATGAGGGAAGAGAGGCTGTAACAGTGTCTGGAAGTGCCACTCCAGTCTGGTGCCACAGGAAGTGCCACCCAGCTCAGTGATGGGATGGAGATGCAAAAATGCCATGTGGAAAAGGGCCAAGTGCAGGCAGCTCTGAGGGCCTTCTCCTCGCAGGGTTATCCCTCTTGCCAGTAATCCTTGCAGGAGCTTTTTCTTTTCCTTGGCTCACACCTGGAAAGGGCTTCACTGCAAGACAGCATCCACCACACAGAAGGGAATCCAGCATCTCCCTGGGGAGAGTGTTCCCATGGCTGCCATGCCCCATGCCAGGCTGCAGGGCATGATCCCATTCAGCACCCAGGATCCCACGCTGGATGCAGGATCCTGTGGGTCCTGTGCAGGGCATCACCCTGGCAGCTGGCACAGGAGCAGCCCTGGCTGTAATGAACACCCAAGAAATGCCCAACAAACAGAAAATACCTCCGCTTTCTTTTTCTTTTCCTAAAGTACTATGACTTTAAAGATGCTCTCCTGACTTTGGGAATAAACTGGGTTTGCAATTCACTGCTAAATCAGCCAGCAAAACCTGCAGTGTGTCTAAAGGCCACAGTAATGGGTGAGACCCCAAACCAGCAAGCACAGCCCAGACCCCTCTGCCTCATCCAAGTCCTGGGGAGCCTATGACCTCCAAGCCCATGGTGGCTGAGCTCCCCAAATCCCTCTCCACGAGGAAAGGGGGACCCAGGCAGACAAGACCTTCTGGGAATGAGGCTGAGTCGAGCTGCTGGAGCCCCCCCGGCTCTCCCACCCACAGGGAAGGTATGGAGAATGGGAATGACAGTCTGCACTGAGATGTGTTGCTTAAAAATAACTTCTTTTCAGCCCAACCTCCACCGCCGCCCCCGGCACGGGGCAGGAGGCGACCACAGGAGCAGTACCCAGGCACCAGCTCCTTCCCCAGCCCACCTCCCCTCCTGCAGGAGACCGGGGCCACGGCCAGCAGGGGAGCAGCAGCGATGCCAGCGCACGGGGCATCCCTCACGCTCTGAGCCCCCATATCCCCACCTGTGCAGTGCCTCCTCCTTCCCTAGTTCTCTGAGTTCATTTCAAGTTCCCCTCCTTGGCTACACATAAAGGTCTCCAGAGAGAGGGAACAGGAGAAAAATCTGCCAGACTTTTCTGGGGGTTTCCCAGCTGGAGCAAACACTATCACCATCCCAGCATCTCAGTCCAGAGCCTCCCCTGGGCTCATTCCCAAGGAATAAAACCTCCCTGTGTGAACCTGACACAAGTGTTCCCAATGCGGTGACAAAATCCGTGGCTCCAGCTCCAGCTTTAGCTGGGGACACCCATTAATCAACCATAATTAATTAAGTTCCCTCATAGAAACTTTCACATAAACTCAGTAACGCTAATTACCACAGCATGGGAAGGATTATCCCCTTCCCAATGGGAATCACCTTCTGGTCCTTCACTGGGAGTCTTGCTGGGGTCGTGACAGATTTTCACCTTTGCTGCAGTGCAGAAGATCCCAGGACTGACAACCCAAAGGTCAGAAGTGCCCCATATTCCCCTCTCTGCAGCACAAAGACCTCGGTTTGCCCAGGTGAAGGATGGGATGGAGGAGACATTAACACAAAACCACCTCCACCAAGCACCTATCAACAGGGGCATCACCCCACACCTGGCCCAGGGTGTGGAGAAGCATCGTGCCAGCTCCCCATCATCAGGTCACATGTCCCAGACAGCCGTCAGGAGCCACCAAGGCCACCACTGTCCCTTGGAATATGATTCAGGGAAAGAGGGTACTGGGGTGATTTGGGGACACACGGGTCTCTCCTTTTGCTTTCCACCCTGCGCTTGACCCCAGGCGAGAGGGTCCTGATGGGCAAATGGGATGTGAGGCCTCAGAGCCATCAGGTACCACCAGTGGCTCCAGCTCCATTCACCTTGAGTTCCCCAAACTCCTCCCTGCTCCTAAAAAATGGGGCCATGCTCTGAACGCCTCTCTTACCCTCAGGCAAAAGAAAGTGTGTGGAAACATCCCACTGATTACTAATTATCAGAGCTTGCCTTACCCAGATTTGCTCTGCTAATTAGACTAATCTCCATGGCTGGGAAATGAGCCGCAGTCACCCATGGTGAGGAGCTCACGCAACTTGGATGTTGCTTAACTCTGACATGTCAGACCCCTGCAATGGGAGCGGGATTGTGACTCCCAGCTGCGTCTGACAGGCCATTGTTTACGGAGACAATGAAAATCCACACATTTGGTGTTTCTCCCTCAAGCCAGTGCTAAAATCAGGACATCTGCATTGCCCAACTTTTTTGATAGGAACCAGATGCAAATAATTAATAAATCCAAATTCAAGATAATGCAGACATCTAAATTTAAATGGAGAGTGCTCTTTGCTCACTTGGAGGAGGGGGAGGAGAGAGGGGCTCAGAGGGACTTCCTGGGAGAATTCTTGCCTCTGGAAGTGGTGTGGGGTGGCAGGGTATCCGAGGATGCAGGCTGTGAGCAAGCACCTTGCAAATCCTCGCAGGCAAGAGAAAAGGAAGGAGAGGAAAAGAAAAATCCATAGGCTGAGATTTCCAGGGAATTAGGACCAAACTCTGAATCTGGCACCTTCCCTTCTGCTTCTTTGGAAAATTCCTGCCAGCAAGGAGGGAGGGGAAGGGATGGAAGGATGGAGTCCAGAAGCTGCCCCCCTGCTCCCAGGCATGTCCCAAGTTATCCAGGGGGGT